TTGGTGAATGGAGCCGTCTTCAACATCCAAAGTCTCAACAGTCCCGTGGACAATCTCGAGGGGCTGAACAGTCTCATGAAACCAGTGATGGATCTGGTCGTTGGTTCTGGTAGTTGTCAGTGCGAAAGATGGTACGTATTATAATTGTCCACGAAAGGATGTCCTTGCTTTGTATATGATGCACTGGTTCTTATTTTCTCTGTCTATATTTTGAAAGCTGCATTTGCATGACCCTAGTTGGAGATTCCAAGTGCAACAACCCGGGCGACTGCTGTGATGTCATTACTAACCAACCTGTTAACTCAACGATTCTGGTTTGATTCCGCAATAATGACTTCGCTTGGCATCTATTGGATAAAGTTATTTTAAAATTAAAAACCCATACATGGTACTGTATCCTATATTATGAATCATGAACAAACTTTTGATCATAGACGCATGCTTGCAAATGTCGTAACCGGTACCCTGGTACCTGGTACGCGACATCCTCCAAGTCCGTCAAATTGTTACCGAACAAATCTCGAACGCCCGTTCCAAATGGCAATGGTCTGCTAAATCCCATGTGGCAAAAATTGGTCTTGAGCAATGCTAATCGCATGGCACAAAGCGTACAGTTTGGTGACTGTGTCATGTTGCCTTTCTTTGTACCACTGCCAGTGCTGTCCGATTGTTCAACACACTACAATTGCCATTCGTTCGCATTGTCCTTTTTCTCCAAATGTGGAGACTTAGCCACATTGACCCTTTCCCCGTCGCCAAACCAATTCATTCCAATCGATCATAGATCGCGTTCTCCGTCAACATCATCGTGCCGCGCACCCAATGGGTCACATACACACACGCACACACCGGTATACCAGTAAATATAACAGATGTCTGCATACTCTCAGAGGGTCCCGGTTCAATTGGGTCTGAGTAATGGCGTGTATAGAGCAATGGCGGTGAATAAGGCTTCACTGCGATTCATGATGATTGATTGATTGCACCCTGTTGTCTTGAGGTTGTTATTATTTTCACCTGGGACTAAAGGTTTCTGCAGTCCGCTAGTGCCGGGGCCCTAAATTCGAGCTGAAAATAACTGTTATTTTACATATGGCCCTGACAGCTCGATGACGCATCGAGCCATTAATAACTCCCGTTATTAATTGCTCACTGACGTCATTTCGTCCATTCCGTAGGACTGGCAGACCGTTCTGATACTCCCGTCCTGCATCAAAC